AAATCCTGTGAAACATTAAGACTGTGGCATTGACAGATCATTAAAGTGTAAAGCCGTACTTGTTAAGTGAAAGTACATAGAGATTTGTCTAGTGTTAAATCATATAATATGAGAATATACTGTGATTTGTGGTCATTGAGAGAACCCTCCTTCAAACCACAAGCTATATGAGCCGTGTCACGACAAAACCAACATAATGGGTTTGCGACCAGCATGGATCCAGACCAGCCTGCGCATCCGCGCAGTCTGATCAGGATCCATGCTGTTCGCTTACAGACCCTATAACAAGTAAAGAAACTGATGCGGATGCGCAGGCTGGTCTGGATCCATGCTGGTCGCAAACCCATTATGTTGGTTTTGTCATGACACGGCTCATATGAAGTAGAGGATTAACTGCAACATTATTATGTTTTTTTTAAAACCCTCTGAAGCTTTAATTACAATCAAATAATAATGTAAGCTATGTCAGCATTGTTGAACATGATTTATTTTAAAGGCACATTATGCGTCAGGAATGAATAAAAAAATTCATTCTTTAGAATGGTCAAACATGAGATTTATAACATTTTAGAATATGTAAGATGCTGAATTACCTGAAAAATATAGCGCTGGATGTGAAATAAATTGCAAAAAATTACAGTAGCAAAATGTAAACAAATTAATGTTTTGACTTCCATACAATTTTACTAAATATCAAAAAGTAAAACAAAAGGGAAATGTGGTACAGAAAATTGGCCAATGTATAACTTTTTTGAAACTCTAGCAGGACACCTTGCAAGAATAAAAGTTTTTGAGAATCATCAAAGTAAACTCATTTCAGGCACATAATCGACCATAAGCTTGATTGTGAAGTAAAAGCTGCAGCTTCTATGAACCAACTAAAGTCTGCTTTCTGGAATTAACCAGCACTGATCTCAAGGTTATACAACCATTTTCTGAGCTCTGTTTTAAATCTGGGTATTTTCATTGGTCAGTGTACATTTTATGTTGGTTTCTGACCAATCAAATACTTAAGATCTGAGTCTGAGCTAGAAAATTTCTTTATAACCTCAGATCCTGATGTCATATGCAGGAACATGGTTGTTACTCAAGTAGGGCTCGAATTCCACAATCCTTGGGTTGAGAGGCAGAGAGCATGACCACTTGGTAACTGCTCCACTATCAGTCTATATAAATGCCTGCTTGATTTTAAACAAAATTTTCATTTAATAATAATAAGACTAAATTTTGTCAATTTTCAAATATATCACTCACACTTTATAACAAATTTATGTCAAGAAAGAAAACAAAATTTGTAACTTCAAAAGGATTATTTTTTGCCTAACCATATTCCACTTGAAATGTATTTCTAGGAAGTCTGGGTTTTTGAAAAATTATTGTGTATATTCAGAGGGGCTTAAAAGCAATCTGTTGCCATGGCAACCACACTTTACCTCTAGAACTTCCTTCTGATGATGCAATTGAGTATATGTCGAAATCCCTTTCTATGAATAAGAAAATTAATGGATAAAAATAGAACAGCAGTGAATTGTAGGATGTAATATGTTAGAAAACCACAGAGAATGATTTTGGTATTATTAGAGATTATAGATATATGAGATATAATATTATGCTGTTTCGGTTTTCGTTATTTTCTTTCCCTCCTGTACAGGTGTGAATTATTCTCACTGTAACAATATTTATACACTTCAGCCTCATTAAAACGCTCACGTTGGGGTCCAATGTCTCACCACCGTGTTCTAACAAGGCTCTCATTAGAACGCTCATTGCGAAATTACCGCATTACCCTACCCATCACATATTATATATAACGCTGATTTTTTTTTACTTACTGTTCAATGAATATCGACATTATCTTTTTCTAAAGCCATTCAATGATGTAAACATGTATTATATTCACAATAATACTAATTATATTTAAAAGAAACGAAAAACTTTTGAATCATTAATGTAGTGTAAACACTAACAGCCATTACTGTAATGACGTTTGATCAACTAGGGGACACAACTAAAGCTAAACTGTAATTTACAGTCCAGCTTTAGTTGTGTCCCTTAGTAAATCAGACGCCAATTACTTCCTGTCATGGCCTCTCTATTTACAGCGCAGGATTTTAAATTGATTTTGGGCTTGTGGGTTATTTAATTCAGCGAGGTTTACATGTCAAAGATATGTGTGTGAATTTTAGTTTTTTATACTCACCACCGGTTGCCAATTTCACAGTTATGATATGAATTTGAGATTTTGGAAACAATTTGACGACAGGTAAAACAACAAAAGAGCAAATAAACGCTTACCTAGGCATGTTTTTCACACCTTTGGCGCTCATAAATGTCCTGATAACAATTGTTTATTGTACTTGACAGTCAAATTGAGCAAGCGTTATAGCGCGCTATAAATTTAAGTCTACTTAAAAAAAAAAAATTTTTTTTTTTGGAAGTTTTTTTTTTTTTTTTTTTTTTTTGGAGCCAAGGTCTATGAGCGCTCTACTGAGATTAGCGTTATAGTGAAGAGCGAGTTATCGAGGCTACAGTGTTATTTGAAATTTAGAAACAGGGCACCACCTGTATATAGCTTTTCTGTATTTTAGAACTAAGAACTATGCAGATGTGATGATGTATTGAAATAAATATATATTTAACCCTCTCATGAGCTCTTAACTTACTAAGTCATGTAATGGATTTGTCAAGCTTGAACATTCAAAAGTGCATGTAAGGGATTTCAGTTTCAAAAGACAAAAATAGGGCAACCATCAGTATAGAGTCTGGATGGAGTTTGGACTGCATGACTGAACTGGTCAAAGGCTTGTCACTTTCATTTCCAGCAAGTTAAAAGTTCATGGACAAACTCTGCTCTAAATTTGAAGCTGTCCATAATTTTATGGTGTTACTCGTATAATAGTATAAATCTAAAATGTAACAGTCATTAGTAAGACTGCTGGCTTTACTTACTGTTGGTTGCACAGGTATGTACTTAGTACAGAAACTACTAGGAATACTCTTTTTAAAGGGAAATTTCCTTCAGATATTTAACAAAAAAAGAAGCAAAAAATACTTCAGAACATAGACCTTTTGAAACTAAGGGCTGAAGTTGTTGTTTTTTTCCCATCTCAAATTTCTGTCTTTAGATTGGTTAGTTGGTCATTGTAAACCAGTCAAAACGTTTCATTTTAAAATTTAATAGTTCTCTTTTTAAAAAAATTCATTTGACAGAATTTTAAGATTAAGGTCTTCAAAGAAAATGGAAGTGGTTGCAGGGAAGTTATTTATAATGTCTGCAATTTTTAACAAAGGTTTATTGGTTTTTAGTCATGTTTGTGTCACAACCATGTTTCCTCTTTTGACACCTGTACTGGTTAGTTCCTGGAAACAGACTCGGCAGTGATTAAAAAAAGCAACATGATTTCTTAATTGATATTCAAACTTTGATAAATGCAGACTTAACTAAAGAACCTTGTTTAAAAATGGTTTTGCCAGAATTTTGAATTATTTCTAAGAATAGATTGAAGTTGATTGGAAAACAATGGTGTTTTACGTAACAATGGTGTTTCACAGTTTTACGTAACCGTGACATTTTAAGTGCTACTTACAGCTTTTATTGTTAGGCTCTTGGCGTTAATGCATTTACTTGTTGCCAAATATTCTGAAAATATTTTGTGTACATGGCTATGTAACCTCCTGAAGTAATAAAATGATCAACTGTGTTCACCTTTCTGGTATTATTGGAAATGTTAAAGTATTATTGCTTGTGTAAGAGGCACTGGTTGATTCACATATTTCACTTGAATAAATTTTCCTTGTCAGTGTGTTTTTAATTTAAATAAAAGAATCAGATTGCTCTCTTTATAAAGATTTAAATTGATTTTAGTATAATTTGTTTTGTATCATTTAAAAGGCACATTATGTCTCGGAAACAAAACATTTTTTTTACCTTCCTTGGAAATGGCAGATATGAGTTATATAATGTTTATGTAAACGTTTAAGAGCATGTTAGATGCTTATCACCTGAAGAAATAAGCACTGAAAGTAAAATAATTTGTCATAAAAGAAGTAGCAAAATGTAAAAGCAGTGTTTTCACTTTTAAACAAAATCACTGTAACTGTACTAATTGCCAAAAAGCAATAAGAAACAAAAGTTAGTTCAGGTAATTGGCCAGTAAGGAACTTTTAAGAGTTTATAACCGGACACAAAAAAAAAAAACACTTCTAAAAAAATTGGCTCAAAATATTTAAGAAATAATATATCCCAAACTGTGATTTTATTGCTCAATAACATCACTGTTTGGAGTTCGTATGCGGAGAATTATATCACGAGGGCGTAGCCCGAGTGATATAATGATGCGCATCCGAACGACAAACAGTGATGTTATCAAGCAATAAAATCACCGATTTGGATATATTATTTCGATTCTAACACAACATCAACAAATAAATGCTGCCATACATGATAATTAGCTAAATTGCGCCTGATTTGTGTCCGTACTTATTGTCAACGCGTCACATTTTTAGTGGTTTCGTCACGTGTATAATGATTACGTCACATGTCTAAATATAGAACGTCAAACAGTGATTTTATAGCATAATAACACACACTTTTGGTTCTTCTATGTTCAATAGGGAAAAATGCCGGTCGTGTTAGAATATTCAATATAGTGAAAATTTAAAAAATAAGATTTCTTAAATCTGTTTTTCATCATTTAATGATTTAAGAGGGAGCCAGTCGTTAGGTGGTTTAGGTGGTTTGGTCACTCACATCATGTCACATTTGTGGGCTTGAATGCAACTTGAGATATTTTATTCTTTCATGTTAGGAATCTATCAAGTTAATTGATCGAGTGTTTGGTAAACTTACCCAAGTGCCCTTTGTGCCAGGAATGATATGCAGAGATGCACCTGGTAGAGGGTCCTTTACCAGTATAGGCATATTACCTTATCATAACATAGATTGGCAGTTAACAAAATGTTTTAGAAGATATTTTATATATATATTTATTTACTTACAGGTTCTCAACTGTCACAGACACAACTACTAGATCTTCAACAAAATATGGTCGCCATCGGAAACGACGACGGAAGCATAGGTTGCCACCCATTAGTCGCGTATGTACATGTATTCCAACAAATTTCAGCTTTATTGCTTCATTTTATAGTGCATAGTGTAAAACCATTTTGATGTTTTGAACAAATTTTGTTAGTGGTGATACTTACTCTGCTTATTTAACAACACATTTGAGAAGTATTTCTTTAATTTGTAATAGATATTGTTTCTATGGCCCTTTGTAGGGAGGCATATAGATTTGCCCTTGTCTATCCATACTGCTGTCCGCTTTTGACCGGAACAGGTTTGTTTTACTGACAATACAACAGAATGTTGGGGTCCTTTGGACACCTGTCTAGTTTCTTCCATTACTTTTACCACTGATGCATTTGAGTATCTATATTTATTGTATGGAAATTGTGAGCGGTTCAGTTTAACATTGGAAAAATTACAATATTTTCGTTATTTAATATATGTTGTATTTTTGTTGCTATTTCAGGCATCATCATTTTCCAGTATAACAGATTCTACCATGTCTCTTAACATTAAAACCCATTTCCCCTTTAAAAATATGGGAAAATATAACTCGGGAATTTTTAAAATGATAAAAAAAAGATCTCAAAAATTGTCGGGTTTTTTAACCCCTTTCCCAAAAAGGTCTGAGTGTAAATTTCCATTTCCGGCATTTATAGAGTTTGGGCGGACCGTATGTTTTGGTACTTTCCATGCTGTCTGACCAGGCTCTATACTGTTGTTAGCTCAATTAATTGGCAAATGGTCAGGGTTTTTGACTTTGAGTCAGTGCTCCAGTCTTCTGAAAGAGTCAGATTGATTTATTTTCTTCTATCTATGATGTTGATTTATGTTTGCAGGATATTCATTAAATATAATAATAAATTTTTGGGGAAAAATTTATTAAATCACAGATACCCCACTTTTTTCCTTATTTTATAAAAATTAAATTTTCATTTTTAAAAGTGATCGAGAGTTTGAATGCAAGTTTTTTATAAAGGGGTTTTTTTATAAATTTACAATCTTGCAGTGCTTTTCCCTTTAAAAATAGACAATTTTTCATTATTTGTAAGGTTTGCTTTTTTAAAAATTTTAAAATCTATTGGTGTTTTTGAACAAATGAGTATAGTTGGGGTTGTTTCTATCTTTCAGACACGGTGAATTTTCTCGGAATCAGTATTGTAGGTCAAAGTAACAAAGGAGGAGATGGAGGGATCTATGTGGGGTCAATTATGAAAGGGTATGTTACGAGTCTTTAAAGTCCTGAATAATTTCTTGATAATAGAATGGAGTTATCTTGCTTTGTATTAGGAACCGTTCTTTGTCAATGCATTAGAGTGTTGGCAGTAATCAATTTATTGTTGAAGAGTGTTGTATCTGATCGCATGACATTATCATCTATGCCAGATACAAAAGAAGGGGAATGAAAATAGAATTTGTATGAAAGTCTGAAGAAGGCCTTTGAAAGAATGTCAAAATAAATTTGAAATGAAGTGATAAGGATAATGTTAAGATTCAGCCTCCAATTGACCTACCGGTTACAGTGGCTGACATAAAATCATTTGCACCTCAAAACTATGAGTTTGATTTAATGGTTAAAACATACAAAGTCCTCCTAAGGGAGCTATGCAGGTAAAAACTCATGTCCCTGCATGTGACTGAAATAATTCATTAAACGGCTGAAGCAATAGAGGTGGGAAGTCATTTACACAGTGTATGGCAGGGTTTTCATTTCCATCTGAGGCAAAAGATGTACCAAAGAAAACAACAAATATGGCCAATGTTCAAGGGGGCTATTTTAATCTACAGGCTGAATAAACAATCTATTATAACATCATTTTAACCGATGATGAAAACTATGGTGTATGAGTGCCTTAAAACCAAGCAACCCATCCAAATAATATGGAAACAATAATAATAAGCAAGAATGAAATATAATTTATAAGTGTTATATTTCATATTTAAAGTGGTGCTGTAGCCCAGGATGGAAGAGTAGAACCAGGAGATATGATATTGGAGGTGAATGGTGTTAGTTTTGAAAATATGAGTAACGATGATGCTGTACGAACACTCAGAGAAGCTGTTCAAAAACCTGGGTATGTAACTTGTCCTTGGCAGAGTTGTCTCTCTTTGATACTGTGTGGTTTTTGCTATATCTAAATTCTTGTAATGTTGTTGGTTTGTAAATATATTATTAGTTATTTGTCAAGAGTTGTCTCTCTTTGATTTAAGAATTTTTTTTGTTACTTGGATGTTTGTAAAATATAGTAATAAATAATCTGCTGAGAGTTGTCTTTCTTTGATAAAACAATATCAATTAAGTTAAAAGTTATACTACTTCAAATGATGTTTCCATGAAAGTAAAGTTAATTGTAAACTGTAAGGTGAATTTCAATTTTTTCCTAATCTTTATTACAAGGTCATCACCATCTTTGGAATATGATATTTTTTATATAAATATTGAATGTTATTAGTTACTATAAAAAAATTAATCAATTTTTCATTTTAGGCCCATAACTTTAGTAGTTGCCAAATGCTGGGACCCAAATCCAAAAGGTTATTTTACTGTGCCCCGCCAGGAGCCAGTACGACCTATAGATCCATCAGCATGGGTCGCTCACACAACGGCATTAAAACAAGAGTACCTAAGTCGCGGTGTACCTAGTCCCTCATTGAGTAATATGACATCAACTAGTTCATCAATATCCAGTTCAATACCAGAATCTGAACGTAAGTTATTGCAGTCAGTCATACATATTAGTTCATTAATACCTAGTTCAGTACCGGAATCCAAATACAAGTTACGTAACTATGTCTGTCATACATTTTGTTACACTTTTCAAGGCTAAAGCAGATTATTGGATGTGTGTATCCTGTATGCAGCTTACTTATGGAAGATTGTTGGTTTTACACGATCACTTGCTTTTGTCTGAAATTTCACTGTTTTGTTTTGGTGGATTTTAAGTCGCACCAAAGATATAAAGGTCACATAGCAAGTTTTCAGCTTTACTATTGGAGGGAAATCTGACTTGCTGCTTCATGCATTATTTCAGACTCGGATGCACACTTAAGTAGAACCACCAATCTGCATAAAATTAGCATGAAGAATCCAAAGTCCCTGATGGGATTCGAACCCAAAGCAGTGTGGGGGTCAGTTGTTTGAAGTTGCAACCAATTCTGTCTGGGACATAAGGTCTCATTCTACCAGTAAAGCTGGAAAATGACCATATGACCATGACAGGGTAAGAGTGACTTAAAACCAAACCAAACATAAAAGCATAATGTACAATTAAATTTTCAAATTTGTGTGGTTTGCAAATTGACAACATAGAGTCTGCAGACAGTTAGAATTATGTGTTGTTTAATGAAATATCTGCAAAAAGGCACTGAATTAGAAACATAAAGATTATTGCAATGTTTAAAAGATTCCAATTTAAGTTTTATTCATAATTAATTGATATTTACATGACTGTGTTGAATTTTTACCAAAGTTGAGTCTTTCGACTTCACTGTATTGTCCAATTATTATGCTTACCTCCCTTGGACATAAGAAATAATACCTAGTTACTTCCCTTTGTCATCACAGTGTATAGTAATGTGTTTATATTACAGGATTTGATGATTTAAATTTGACCATTAACACTGACATGGCTACAGTGGTAAAGGCTATGGCGTCACCAGATTCTGGTTTAGAGATTAGAGATAGGATGTGGCTCAAAATAACTATACCAAATGCATTCATAGGTAACATATCTATTACTTTCTATAAGAAATCCAATCCCGGGTTATATAAAACATTTATATACCTAAGGCATTCATAAATCTGTTCTATACCAAATATACTCATAAGTTTTGCGTGAGTTTTGTATACTGAATGCATCTATTGGCTATGCTAAATGTGTTAAATATAACATTTTCATACCAAAATCTCATATTATATACATATTTGTTTACCAAATGCTTTCATAGGTTATTTACAACATTGCCAAAAGCAATCATGGGTAGATGACATATCAGTTTGTCATACAAAATCCATTCTTATGTTATGTACATGTATAACTTTAATACTAAATGCATTCATAGGTTATATAAACATTCATATGCCAAAAGCAATACTGTTTATGTTTTTACAATTTTAGATATAGAAATCATTTGTTACACATATGAAATATAAAACCTAACCAACCTGACAATGTGAAATGAACTTGCCCCGTTTTGAATTAGGAAGTCTTGGAAATTTCAGTATTAAAAGAACAAAACTTCTAATATTGAAATTGTTATTACTATTGATAAGAAAGTCATTCATTTAACATCCTCTTCACATAAGATAATAACTCAAAGGAAGATAATATCTCAAAGGAAGATAATAACTCAAAGGATAAAAAGTAAAAGCTAACTTTATTTATAATCCAAAACAGTAAAAAGTAATAGCTGAGTTAACATGTTATTCAAAGGAGTAAAAATTAATAGCTTAGCTAATTTCAAATGTAATTGAGTAAAATGTAATATCTGATGTTGTAAATATTAATAGGAGTAATACTATTTAAATTTTCAAAATTCATAGGAAAATAAAAAAATTTAATAGTAAAAACGGAAAGAATTCCTGAATTATGCGAGGGATCTAATTTTTTAAATTTCCCGGGGTTGTTTTATGAAGGGTTGTTTACACATGTGGAAGGTTTTGCAGATAGGAGGGACGCTCGAAAATATGCGTGTAATTTATTAAAAGCTGGTTTTATTCGACACACTGTGAATAAAATTACATTTTCGGAACAGTGCTATTATGTGTTTGGTGATTTAAGCGGAGGTAGGTATTGGTTTTGTATGTTGATTTGGTTGCTGTATGCTGTGCTAAATGTAACAGTATGGTGGGCAGTAAAAAATGATAGAATGAAGACTTTAATAAGGACTTGATGAAGGCGATATTTTAATGTTTTACGGTGATATTTCTTGAACACCTATTGGGAGCTATCAAGGTAAACATGTGCTTTATTGATTTGCTACAAGTCTTACTAATGTAGTTAACTTCCCATTGGTCAAACTATTTAAAATGGCAGCATTGCCTTTTGAAACAGTGAATTTCTAAAGAAGTTACCTCCCTTTGATAATGACAATGTTGCATTCTTGTAAACATTAAATAACTAATGCCATTACCTCCCTTTGATAAAAAAGTATAGTAATCTCCCTTTGATAATGTTAACATTTCAATATCATGTTTACATTGAATTACTAAAGCTGTTACCTCCCTTTGATTAAAAATGTCATTTGTCTCTCTTGATTAACTTTCTTTGTACAAATACAGATAAGTTTTCTTAATTATTTCCTGATGGCCATTTGTTTTTTATTTTAGAATTGATGATGATAAATGGGAGACATTTGATAGAATTAGGACAGAGCAAGGTTTAATTAACCCAGTGACCTTTGATGGTGTATGTTAGTGTCAAACAATGATAAAACCTTTTTTGTGCACTAAATGTGATAATGAAAGGACTATTCTACTTATTAAGACTTAAGCTGTACTGTTGTACCAGGAAGTCTCATCACCTGACTATAATATTGACTGTTTGAAAATTTTGATTTTCATTTTGACAAATTAATCAAAATTTGATAAGTTCATTTCACAGAATGGGTGGGACTAAGATTTTTATGCACTTACTATTGTGGAAGGGTGCATTTTTGGCCTTCAATTAAGCTGTCAGTAGACTGATGAAACAATGAAATGTGTGAGTTTCATTCATCCCTATACTCTGTACACAATTCTAGTCTTTGAAACAACTGTCTTGAATGAAATTTAGGAAAATGTAACAAAACTTTTTAAACATTACTTTCTTGACAAGATGATAATGCACTCATGTAAATGTTTTTCCCATTAACAGTAATATATGCCTTACAAAGTGAGTGGTTTAGTGAGAAAAAGGTTCAAGGTTTAATATCCTAAAAAGTTAGGAAAGACTCAATATTCAACAGCTTTGTCAACTTGTAAAATGCCTTAGTGTTCAGCTTCTATTTCATGCAAAAAACCCAAATCTCCGAAAGGTCACTAGGCTTTTTTGTTGTTGTCTATAAACCAAAAAAGTTCTGCACTCAACAAAATTTTTCTTATGAATTCAGATGATAAAACTGAATGTCACACATGTTAAGTAGGTATGTAAATCTACATTCACAGCTGTCAGAGGAGTGATGGGTTTGTGAGTAGTGTCCCCGATTTAAGAGATTGTCTTGTCAGGACTATAGTAATGTTAAGTCAGGTTTTCTACATACGTCATATAGTGATAATTGATGCTGAAATGTGATATTACTTATACTATGATGTAGCAATGGTATTTCCTGGTTGTGAGAAAAAATTGTTTTGTAACATATGTCTGTATGCCATTCTTCTTGTGTGCTATTTACTATATGGTCTGAAAAATGGTCAAATGGCATTTTCCTCTTGTGCAGAAATGTAGCGCATTGCCATTTTCCTCTTGTGCAGAATTGTGGCGCATTGCCATTTTCCTCTTGTGCAAAAATGTGACGCATTGCCATTTTCCTCTTGTGCAGAATTGTGGCGCATTGCCATTTTCCTCTTGTGCAGAAATGTGGCGCATTGCCATTTTCCTCTTGTGCAGAAATGTGGCGCATTGCCATTTTCCTCTTGTGCAGAATTGTGGCGCATTGCCATTTTCCTCTTGTGCAGAAATGTGGCGCATTGCCATTTTCCTCTTGTGCAGAAATGTGGCGCATTGCCATTTTCCTCTGTGCAAAAATGTGACGCAATGCCATTTTCCTCTTGTGCAGAAATGTGGCACATTGCCATTTTCCTCGTGTGCAGAAATGTGGCGCATTGCCATTTTCCTCTTGTGCAAAAATGTGACGCAATGCCATTTTCCTCTTGTGCAACTTATTACATTGTCAGAAATGTGGTGCAACACTGTTTCATTCTTAACAGTGCCAGTCCCTGTAACTTTAAGATACAAGTCCTGTACTCCACAAAATTTGTTAAATGGACTTGTCCAGCATTGCATTTGGAATGGTCCATTGTTCATTTTGTGATCAAAATGCTATATACTTAAGTATAGAGCCTTCTTTACTGTTGGCATAAGGAAGTTATTATAGCTGTCAGCATAAAAAAGTCATACACAGTTTAATTACCTTCTGACTCATTAATTGTTACCTTCATTACCAAGGGCAAAAGGTCAAAGTGGTAGTTCTGGTCTGATGTTTCTGGTCTAAGTAAGGATCATCTTGATACATGTATAAAGATTTGTTTACATCTGAATCAGTACATCTGCACCTTGGTGTTTTGTTACAACAGTCTGACAACAGTTACATATGTGTTCTGACAACAGTCATGTGTTTTGAGGCAACAATAATAATGAATGATTGTGACAACAGTTACTTATGTGACAACAGTCATATATATGTGTTCTGACAACAGTCATATATGTGTTCTGACAACAGTCATATGTGTTCTGACAAGAATCATATATGGGTTCTAACAACAGTCATATATGTTCTGACAACAGTCATATATGTGTTTTGACAACAGTCATATATGTGTTCTGACAACAGTCATATATGTTCTGACAACAGTCATAGATGTGTTTTGACAACAGTCATATATGTGTTCTGACAACAGTCATATATGTTCTGACAACAGTCATATATGTGTTTTGACAACAGTCATATATGTGTTCTGACAACAGTCATATATGTTCTGACAACAGTCATAGATGTGTTTTGACAATAGTCATATATGTGTTCTTACAACAGTTATACAACACGTCATTAATCAGCAGCTTATATAATAGTCATGCATTGTTTTGGAAAAAAGCTACTTAGTGTTAAGAGGCTGGGAAAGTCATTCATATTAATAATAAGTGGAGAGAGGGCGAGAAAGTCTTCCATATTTATATTTATGCACAGCAAAAACAGTGTCTCCTTGAACATGCAGTATTAAAATTTTTATTTGTTTGTCAGGCAATGAAAATTGCAAATCAACAAAATTTGATACCCTCGTAAAAGCTAGTGAGACTGTAAAATAAACAAATAATTGTTTGTTTTAATTGGCTACTGATTAACAAGGAACAATTGTAGTGATTGTCATGCTATAGGTTGACATTTACCTGAAGTTCGAAGCTAAACATTATTGACATTTTAACTTACACCAGTCTGGACTGGTGTATGTTGTGAGATCATCAAATTTCCTTGATTTGTATGTGATTCAGGTGAATAACTTTCAGTCCATTTTTTTCAAACACACATATTTAAATAAAAATAAGAAAGTAAAGGGTAGGTTTTTGTAGCTAGTGCTTTATAGCTTGGTTCTTGGCCGAGTGATTAATAAGGCCATTAACCACAAGTTAATGGTCCTGAACTAATGTTGGTTTGAGTCCTTAGAGATGCGTTGGATTCTTTGGTTCAACTTGGATGACTGCTTGTTTCAGAAATAATGCACAAAGCTCTGTTGGTGGAACTGAAAAGACTATATGACCTTTAATTTGAGCTGTTAAGCTATATCCCTTGAAGTCAAAAGCCCATTCCTGAAATCATATTATGAGAGGAATTCATAATTAGCTTGAAAACTATCATATAATTTTTCTTTTGCATATCAGATTGCCTTTGGCGTTTTCATTAGTTTTACATATGCTGGAAATTAAATTTCACCTGGCGTGGGCCAGATGAGGGGCGTGTTCCAAAATTATGTCATTTAGAAGGAAACTGCATTCTGCCATTCTGAGAATGAAGTAATTTCGGCATTAGAAATGAAGTTGTTTTTTCATTATGCTTTTGTAAAAGATGAAGAAACAAAGGAAATGACATTTCTTTCCATGACAAATTAATCTTGGTTGCTGTCCATGGGACGGTATGCAAGGCATGAATATTCAAACTCAGACTGAAACACATGATTAACAGATATTATCTCCCTTTAATTAAGACTTCAATTCCAGTAAAACAAGCAAATTGAAATGTTTATAACAATACAATGAAACAAAAAAAAAATCTTCCATGTGCAAAGCTTTACTTTTTTTCGCATCATCTTTCATTTTTGACCTACATGTGATTTAAACTTGATTAATAGGGTGAAATCTATTACCTGTCATTGGTCATGTAGGGGATGATCTTTGCCATATATAAGTGATGGACAATGACACATTGAAATGGAGTTAAAAGGTTTCAATACAAAATGTATGTTAAAAGACATAACTTACTTAGTGCCATTGATCTTGTTGATGTAGTGTTTTTGAAATGTTGAATGAGAATTGAAATTGAGCCGCGCCATGACAAAACCAACATAATGGGTTTGCGACCAGCATGGATCCAGACCAGCCTGCGCATCAGCGCAGTCTGATCAGGATCCATGCTGTTCGCTATCAATTTCTCTACTTGTTATAGGGTTTGTAAGCGAACAGCATGGATCCTGATCAGACTGCGCAGATGCGCAGGCTGGTCTGGATCCATGCTGGTCGCAAACCCACTATGTTGGTTTTTCGTGACGCGGCTCAATTAGATTTTAAACTACTATTTTGGTACATGTTAAAATTGACTATCTAGCTAAGGAAACACAAGTTAACACTTTCCCTGCCTTCAACCATCATTTAATTTTACTCATGCCACTAGTGCAGACCAATGTCAGCTAGTAGTTTAATTTGGTCACCAGTGTTTGCTATTCAGTCAAAACATATTTAGAAAATGTTATTGAAAAAAATGATGAATTGTTTTGTCCAGAGCCTGGAAGATGAAAACAACCTTTAGCGTTAAAATAGAAATGCTGACACTGTGTTTTCTTAAATCGGTTTTGTCCAACTACACAAAAGGAATGCATGC